ACTAAGAAATTACATAAATCGTCCTCAATTTTTAAAAATTATTCCATAATATATCATTAAGGAACCATATGCAGAAAAAATATTTTGTCATATTTGTCCTAAGGACCACATTTTAAATGTTGACCTTAGGACTATGTAAGCATCACTCTTGTCCTAAACGACTATTTGTGGAATTATTTTCAAAAATTGAGGACCATTTATATAATATCTTAGAATTGGAGACTAAATATAAAAAACCACCTATAATTATAAACCAATTATAGAATTTACTTTCAAGATTATATTTTTACTTCTCTCTTTGTACTATAATATTATTTATATATTAAAGTAATTATTATTATTATCATATTTTAAATTTGTGTGTTAGTCAAGAATTTCATTTTTTATTTCCATTAGTCAATTTTATTTGTCTCTCATAAATCTTCTCATTATCTTTTTTTAACATTTAAAATATCACAATTATCTCCACTTACTTTATTTATTACACCTCTATCATATGATTCATCTCATTTAATACCTTTCACCCTTTTTATTAGGAGTATTTTGGTAAACTTTCATCTTTTAACAACTATCCTTAAAAATAACAAAAAATCAAAAAGAGAAGATCTTAGGGAACGGAGGGAGTAGTTAATAATGTTAAAAAAAGTAAACTATTGAATAACAAAAATCACATAAGGGAAGAATTCCTATAATCATCAGCTAAAAATTATTTTAATTACGTAATGCAAGAATTAGTAAAATCATCGAGTGAAAATTATGAAAATTACATAACGCAAGAAATTATATTTAAACTTATATTTTTATAACTTGGTAAACTATAAAATTTGACTTTAAATAAGGCAAAAATTTTGATTTAACCGTAATTAAAACTTATATTTAAATTAAAGAATCAATCTAGATTAGCTTTAGTTATGGCGAAAACATAAATTTTTAATAAGGTAACTAAGGTAATTATCAGCACATACTCTAACATTGACATGGCATGTTGAGGTGTTAAAAAATGGCCAAGTGTGTTGTCCACTTGTCGAACTCTCATGAAGCGAGTCTCAAATATTATAGTAAAGGATGATATGACTCTAAAATTGAGTGATTTAAGTAACAAATCTAAAAATAGAGCTAGTTATATTGTAAATTACTATATTTAATGTTTTATTAAATTTATAAGATTTAAAATTGAAAAAAGGCAAGTAATATTGCAAATTACTATATTTAATGTTTTATTAAAATTATAAGATTTGGCTTTTAAAAAAATCATATTCCCAATATGTTCAAATTTTATATGAATTGCAAAATACTATATTTAATATTTTATTAAAATTATAAGATTTGGCTTTTAAAAAAAATCGTATTCCCAATATGTTCGAATGTTCTATGAAAAAGATCTCCAATTTTTGCTCTGTAACCAAAATTATATTGTTATATTTTTTGTTTCTTTTTTTTTGTTTCAATATTCAAATTAAATTCAAGGGCAATGTTATTTTAGTTTCAAATTTTATGAATAATATTTACATTGGTTTGTATATTTTAAAATTATTTTAAATTATTACTTAAGTTAATTATTTATGGGAAAGACATGTACGAAACTATGTAGCTAAAAGGTAATTCATTAAAGGGGGGAAAAGTTACAAACTTAAAAATAGTGCTTCTTTGTTTTATAACACATGTCTTACTGTTATCACTTTTCCATCACACTACAATGTATACTCTTACATTACCCTGTCATTATACTAATATTTTGGTATTAAAAAGCTTAACACTCATATTTTGGTATTTTAATAATATTTTACATCTATTTAGGGATTTTTTTTAAAATATAATTCTTAATCCAAAAATAGAAAGTGTTCTTTACCCCCCATACGTATATATGGTACACAGATTGGAATGCCTGAATAACTTGAATAACATCCATACTTTATTTAAAAAGACATGGAGTAAACATATAGTTTTCCCGCCCAAAGTGTATGACAATTACAAATGGCAATTGTAAAGTTAAAATGGTAAGTGACCGAAATTATAGTAATAATTATTATAATTATTATATTTATAATAATTAAAGAACATGGCGGAAAGGTAAGTTAATTATTAGTATTATTATTAATCTAAAAAATGGTTTAAAACCTATAATAAATACATTTCTTTTTTTTATTACACGGTATTAACCAATTTTCTTTTTAAAACGAACAATTTTAACACGTAATCATTTTAAAAAGGGAACAACGATAATATGACACCATTTATAATTGGTAATTAATATTAACTGAACGAATTTTTTCTAATCAAGGTAATTCTAATCCTCAATAATAATGATGCCACGGAATATTATTCCCAAGGGAATATAATTTTTAAAAAAAGGAATATTACTTTTAAAACACAATGCTTTTAAGTATTATGAGTACTGATTGGAAACCTCCAAAATTTTTGCAAGAATAAGTAACTGTCATTTTTAACCTTTTTTGTGTAAGCATGAAGTTAATATAGCTATTATTTTTATAATAATTAACGTGAGTAATATAAAATGGTAAGTGTTAGTAGTATAAAATGGTAAACGTGAGTGTACCTTTTTTAATAATTAACGTATTAAAAAAAGGTAAGTTATACAATTCCAAAGACTAAGTTTTTAATAAAGGTAAGTTATACAATTGCAAAGCGTAAGTTTTTGAAAATTGGAAATAATTAAAAAAGGTAAGTTATACATTTATACTCCCAATTTCGAAAAAAAAATTATGGTAAGAATAATTATACACCCAATTTCGAAAAACTTTAACCCTTCTTATTATAATAGCCTATAGCCTATTACAATTTTATATACTATAACCAATTTCCTTTTTAAAACAATCAGTTTTAACACGTAATCATCTTAAAAAAGGAACAACGCTAATATGACACCATTTATAATTGGTAATTAATATATTAACTGAACGGATTTTTTCTAATCAAGGTAATTCTAAATCCTCAATAATACTTTTCAAAAAAAATCCTCAATAATAATGATGCCACGGAATATTATTCCAAAGGGAATATAATTTTAATAAAAGGAATATTACTTTTAAAACACAATGCTTTCAATTCATATGGAGTGTACTAATTATTTTGGGTGTAATTAAGTATTATGAGTACTGATTGGAAACCTCCGAAATTTTTGCTTGAATAAGTAACTGTCATTTTTAACCTTTTTTGTGTAAGCGTGAAGTTAATATAGCTACTATTTTTATAATAATTAACATGAGTAATATAAAATGGTAAATGTGAGTTTATCTTTTTTAGTAATTAACATATTAAAAAAGGTAAGTTATACAATTCCGAAGCGTAAGTTTTTAATAAAGGTAAGTTATACAATTGCAAAGCGTAAGTTTTTGAAAATTGGAAATAATTAAAAAAAAAAGGTAAGTTATACACTTATACTCCCAGTTTCGAAAAAAATAATTATGGTAAGAATAATTATTACACCCAATTCCAAAAAACTTTAACCCTTCTTATTATAATAGCATATAGCCTATTACAATTTTATATACTATAAATACGGTACTTTTTCAGGCTAAGGTAGTAAGATTAATCAACGTGTGTTTTAATTCGGTGCTTCAACATCGTTTAACCGCTTTAAAAAATGTTGATGAGAGGTCAGGACTATTGATGATGAAACTAAGAGCGGTAAGAGTTTATCACGTTCTTGCTCATTCTCGGGGGCTGGAATCCTTGGAAGTTATTTACCTTAAAATAATATAATCTTCATATTCTATTGCATCTCATTTTTATCATTGAAAAATGATTTGAATTTAATAACATAAAAATGACCCGTGCAACGCACGGGTGTGTTACTAGTTATTAATTATTTGTCTCGGTTGACTTTGCTTTCAAATCTTGAATTATGCATTGTATGATTTTAAAAACAAATTAAATAAACATTGAAATTTCAATCATTGTTCCCTAATGCATTAATTCAAACAAAAAATAATACAAAAAAATATTAGCAATCTTATGATTTTGAATGGAAATTTATATCGGTGGGGTTCTAGTGACACCGGAGGTGCCCCAAAATGCCAGTGGCACCGGAGTGACACCGTACTCCGGTGTCACTAGAACCTCACTGAATTTATATATACATTTGGCAACTCTCATGCAATTCTTTTTTCCTTTATGTTTGAATAAGAAGCTATTTGTGCCTATGAAAAGATTTTTTAAATTTATTTGATTTAAACAGTTGATCATTTAAAAAATAATCTAGACACTTCTTGTTTTATAGAATACTCCATATTAACTTAGATCTATTTTTCATTTTATTTTTTATATTCAAATAAACAAAATAATATAATTCATTTTTTTTTTGAAATAGAAAAGAACTTCTATTGATCCATCAATGGGAGAAGAAAACTTGGGGGAGCAATGTCCCAAACAATAAAATGAGTATCACACCCTCTAGCCAAAACATGAGCAAACTTATTAAAAGAACGACGAGCAAAATTTATAGAAATGAAATCAAATTCATCTAAAACAGCTCTGCACCCATCAATGATGCCTCCAAAGTATGAAGGAAAGTCGGGACTAACCTCTTGACATAGCAATTGCACCACGCTAAGACAATCCGAATAGAGCTCGACCTCACGCACACCACGCCGTCTAAGCCACAAAAGTACTTCACGACATGCCAAAGCTTCCGCCACCAGTGGATCTTGAACGCAGCAAAGAGGTCCGTTACACGCTGCCCGGAATTGACCCTCGGGACTAAGTAGAATTCCACCAAAGCCAACACGTCCAGTCCGCGGGAAAAGGCTTGCATCCACAAAGCATTGCAACACACCTGGCCGACGAATATGAAGGGGAAGAACGGCTCCCTCCTGTCCAGTAGCATCAAACCTATTTCTCCATCCTGCCACCATGGAGTGAATCATCCGAACCACAGCCTGCGGCAT